ACAGATCTAGTGATTAGTTTACTATATATATTTTATATGCAACAAGCTTAATAATTTCTCTTCGCTTTCTTTTAAAATGAGTACCAAAAGGGATACTCCTCGGACACATTGAAAACCGGATGTCCCCGAACTAAAAAAAAGTACCAGGGGAAAAAATCCACAGACTTCTATAGCTGCATTTTCACATGCCACTCAAACTAACCGTTTCAGCGACAAAAAAGATCACGTGATAAACTTTTGTTGTAAAATTATTACGACGTTCTTTATAAATAAATAACAAATATTGAATATTAAAAAATATTAAAGGACGAAACACATATTTTTCAATACATATTTTAAAGTTTTTATGTAAATATGAAAATGAGGAAAAATAAAACTCTTTGCATATACAATTGTATGTAATGTATAAATAATGTAAAGTTTTTCCTCCACTGAAACATTTACATGTAAATTCTTTAAAATACTGAAAAATTTTTGTAGAACAGTAGATGATATTTCACAGAAAGTTTCATGAAATTCTGCTGATTGGTTTTACAAAAGAATACGTATGATGTAGGTGTTGTTTTTCGTAAATGGGTAACTTTTTTTGCACAAAGAATAGCGCTCCGAAGTTTAAACTAAATAATTTATATTACAAGCACGTAACACATTAACACTAAATTAGAGTGTATTTTTGTTTTTGTTTTTTTTTTAAATGTGCATTCTAACTTTATTAAAAGTCAGAAAAAATTATTTCTTGCTAAACAGCTAGAGAAATAAAATCGGAATTAGAGCAATAAATTAACACAAAAACAGCATTAAGTTCTCCGTATGTCTCATATAACTACGCTTATGTTGGCATTCTAGCTTAATAGAATAGTTAATTTTCTTTTAATAGAATATATATTTTTTTTTCAAACAATATTAAGATATCATATTAGACCATCATGTGAACACCAATAACTAAGAAATAAAGGCTAAGCCGGGATCTACAATAGGTTCATCTAAGCTTTAAGCCATAAGAAATGGATGAATCGTAGTCAATTATTCTCCATGCATTCGACTGTAATTGAGGAGGGCAGAATAAAATCTAATCATAAAATCTTAATAAAAATTTTAATAAAAATTAAATAATAACTTGCTACTCTTTTTTATTATACACATTATACAAGGATAGTATCAAATGAATTTATGTAATGTCTTTAAGATGTTACAATATTTCTCTATTATGATCAATATTATATAAAAAGTTAATCTCCAAAAAAGGACTTAAGTAGAATGATGCCTTTATTCCACCCTTCAATTTCTTACGGCTTAAGATTTAAAACACTTATCGTAGATCTGGACTAAGCGGTCAAGCTTGGATTTTTTTGTTGAAACAATTCCATGTGAATTTATATCCTGCAAATTGTGCGCCGAATTTATTTTCAGATTTGAAATGCAATCTTAACAAAACTGGAACAGTAATTACTGTTCCAGCCAAATAATATTAGTGTTCATAGACATCATTACAATAATCTTTAATTAACTTAAAATCTGTGTAAACAATTTTATAGCGAAAATATTACCTCGAAAAACATTGTTTAAGAAAATAATTAAAATTAACAGAACAATAAATTTTTTTTTGGCAACTTTTTAGCAACGAGTAAAAAGAATTAGTTAGAATTGATTCTGCTCATTTGATTCTGCTAACTCATAAGATGTGTTCTCAATTCATTGAATTCGACTTTTTTGTTGTAAGAAACGATGTAATTCTTCAATAAATAAGTTGTTTCCACTTGTTAATGTTATATTTCTACGCATATTTTCTATGCAGATTTTGCCGGTTGATGCAAGGGCAAGAAAACTGTTCGTAACATCTGGTGGCTTGAGAAAAGTACAAGAGATTCAAGCTGAACCGGGTACTACCTTATCGGAATATATAACAATTATTAACAGCTGTTTCCCAGAAGAGATTGTCAGGTTGTATTCCTTTTTGATATCTTCATCGTTTAATTAATATAAATTAGAAAAATATTCTAAAAAATAATAAATAAAATGCCAATTTGAGTCAACACTGGTTATTTGTGTGTATTTTACCATTTATTCGAAGTGAATATTATAACGTATACGTTTCGACCTACGGTCAAGGTCCTCTTCAGAGAAATTTACTTAAACTATTAATTATAAAATTACGTAATGATAGCGCATACGAATATAAACTATTAACATATAAAATACGAAAAAACTGTGATAGTGATATCCAAGTTAATCTTCTAGTCATCAAATTACTGAATTTACTAAAAAAGAAAAGAAAGAGATTTTTTTGTTTTGAACCGACCAAAAGGAAATAAAAAAATATTTTAAATTGCTAACATGAAGTTATCCGCAAAAAATAAAATAAACTTACATGACTGTCAAGATTGAACTGTTTCATTAAGACATATTCCATTTACTGTGTAGTACAATTATGAATAAATTAAAAAGTTAATATAAATAAATAGTTAAAATCAAATTTTATTATTCACTTACACAAATTAAGAGTTATTAGATATGACCTAACTGTTGATAGACGAATGTAAAGTGAAAAGAGAGAAACAGTGGACAACAAAATATGTACTTACAAAGACAATAAGTATAAATAATAAATAATATAACCAAAGATAAACGATATAGATGGGAAGCATTACGTCTCTAAAAATATATTTATATATAATGGATCAAGAAAAAATGTCTCGTTTCTTTGTAGATTCAGGCCTAGTTTTTATTTTTTAATGTGTATCATCTCTGATAACAATCTTTTATGTAAAATTTGCTCTTTGTGTAAAATATGTATGTTATCAAATTCATGAAATGAGTCCCTACGATGTTGTGTGACCGAATGTTGAGTCGTGTTTCTGTTAAACTAAACCTTTGCTTTGGTAAACCAAAGGTTTGTCTATCAAATTTGTCATTGAATTTGAAAAAAAGTAGAATTTATGACTAATTTTAGTACTTTAAAAAATTCCATTTTTGAGATGTCAATATTTTTTTCTATAAGATACTATATCTATTGATAAACATTAATAAAAGTAATATTACATCTAGAGATAAAAGAGAAGCTTCAATAGGAATTGTCAATTTGAGATTTTTTAAGTCAAAAAATAACTATTAACTGTAGAGCTATTAGCCAGAAATAAACTCTTATTAATGATCTTATGTAGAAAAGATGATAAATTATGGAGTGGGCTTTCAACAGATGAAACTATGACTCTCAACTCTCTTTCTTGTCTTTTATAATAAACTTAATAATTTGATGACCAAGATTAACTCGGATATCACTACCACAGTTTTTTCGTATTTTATACGTTAATAGTTTATACTCGTATGCGCTATCATTATGTAATTTTATAATTAATAGTTTAAGTAAATTTCTCTGAAGAGGACCTTGATGGTAGATCGAAATATATACGTTATAATATTCACTTTGAATAAATGGTTTAAAATATACACGAATAATCAATATTGACTCAAATTGGCATTTTATTTATTATTTTTTAGATTTTCTTTAGAATCTATTATTTTGTAGAAAAATATTCTTTTACAAAATAATTTTATTACATGCATGATCCTATCATTTCCATTTCTCAAAATTACTTTAATATCACAATTGTCTTTGATTCTCTTGTTAAATCTATTTTGTATGTGTGAAAAATTCTCTGCAATAATTTCCATTAAAATATTTCATTAATCTTTTCGAAGGCTAATCGAAGTCCAGACATTAATTATATATAATATTAAATGCACAGAGTACAATGATTCATAATTATATTCATAATTATAATTTAGCTCACAGAATTCAAAAATTAATAAAGTTGGGCTTATTCGACGCTTATACGCGTTTTTGGATTTTCTGCATGAAACAATGGATTTTCTGCATGAAACAATGGATTTGGCGAAAACAGCGTCGCTCTATCCTGCGAATCGAGATGTCAATTGTTAAAGTTGACGATTTTTCAGGTTAGGAAATCTGTCAAAGCGACGAAATATAACAATATGATAATTGTCGACTATGCATCGCAGTGTATGATGTGTGATAGAAATGGGTAGTTTGTAAACGAAAGCGTAAAATGAATCTTTTATATGAACTAAATGAACTAGTTCACAATTCTCAAACGAAGTAGATCAAATTAAACTACTTTATCGACGAGTGACAATTGCCAAACTGGAAGCTTTATAGTTCCTGGTGAATAAGTAAACATGTGGTGAAATATATGTAGTACAATTTTTTTATTTTGTATAATGTCTTTCTAAGTAAAAATAGTTTGTTGTGCACTTTTTTGCAACAATTCGTCGTCAAAAGGCTAGATAATGGCCGTGATCCGATTCATGCTGACATGCTTATAAGCATCATTTGTCTTCGTTTAATATTTGATAAACAAGAAGAATAAAATGATTTTTAAGCGTTGTGAGCATGAATCGGATCATGCCAATGTCATATATTTCAAACAAGTAGTGAAAGTTGAAGAAAAATATCCGACTGTTATTTTCAAAAGCGTATACATCGTGATCAGACTCTACACAGAACAATAGACTCGAATTAGGGTATGGTCAAACGCGATGTGTTGCAAACGTTTTGAAGCGTTTTTAATTGATTAGTTAGTAAAATTCTTTCTTCTAATTGGTCTATCAAACGCTTCAAAGCATTTGTAACGAGACTTTGACCACAGTCTTAGAGAGTCTTTAGTCGGCTTCGAGTCACGCATTCATAATAGTACATACAATGTGAAAAAATTTTGGGCGAATAGTTTGCGATTAAAATCCTAGATAAATCAGAGAAACGACAGATGCGGTCGATAATTGAAAAATCAATAAATCAACGCTATTCTCTTTTATCAGCAATCAAAATCAATCAAAATCAATCAAAACATATATTTAGTATTACCATCGAATGGATTACCGATAATGGTGGAGTAGAAACACGAGTAGAGTAAGAGGCAGATAAATGGAACATTCTTTCTTTGTTTATTAAACCTGATTGATTAGAGCAGTACTGGATCAATGATCAATCAGACTTAGTAAACAGAGAAAAAACGTTCATTCATTTATCTGCCTCTCACTCTACTTATTTCTATCCCCACTACCGCCATCCGTAGTCCATTCTATATATCGATGAGTATTACATACATGTTAAAACGTCGAAATAAGATTAGTTCTTCTTGAAAACTAAAATCTACTAAGATCAATGCGATGTTACAAATGCTCTAAAGTGTTTTTTGGCTGGTTAATTCATAAAATTCTTTCTTCCAATTGGTCAACTAAACGCTTCAAAGCATTTATAGCGAGACTTTGATCACAGCTTAAGCCCGGAGCCTCATACGAACAACAGCGCTCTGAAACCGAATGCTGATTGGCGAAAAGCCGATTGTGAAGATAAAATTTACTTCCTCCCCCTCTCCCCCATCACCCGTTTTTCACCAATCAGCATTCGTTGTCAAATATCCACACAAGAATCCGGGCTAATACCTACCGCACACTGAACGCGATGAGCGATAAGCGATATCCAATGAATGTTTTGCTTTGCGTCGTCACGTGAAAAAAAGCAGAACTTTTATTGGATATCGCTCGTCGTTCATTGCTCATCACGTCCAGTGTGCAGTAGGCATAATTCTACTAGGGTATGAGAAATGGCGCTGAACACGTAATTTAGCCAACCAATCAGACCATTTTCTCACCTATCACTTCTCTGATAGACCTGCGCCTCTATTCGCGACAAACTGTTTTGAAATGGATCTTTTCAGTGAACTAGTTGAGTTATTAAAGTATATGCATCAATACATGTCTGTGAGGTGGAGTTTGCCGAGAACAAAAAAATTTTCTTAAGATCTCACTTTTAAAATTTTTTGTTTTCTGTTTCGGCATAAATTCCATTTTACAAATACATATTAATCCATATACTTTAATCCTGGGAAAGAATTTTCAAATCTGTAAAAGAAGAAAAAAGTAATTGTTATATAAAAATTATGATTTAATCAGAAATACAGATGACTTTAGGATCCTCTTAAGGATCTCGACACAAAGATAGTTGTAACTGAGTTCTGACAGTTGAAACGTGAGTCGTAATCTTAGATCAATGCACAATGTTTTGTCAATCTACAACTACTACGACTTATGTTCTATAACTCGGTTATAATCGCTTTGTATTTAGACGATAACTCCAAGTAAGTCATAATCGGACATGAAAAATTATAGTCTAAATTTATTAGAAAAATGTTGGAATCAAAATTTGAAGGATTACAATCGGATAATTTTAGCAAACTTTGCATATGTGAATGTTATCTTGGAGGAATTTTTATACAAAATTTTAACTTTTACTTGGAAAAAATTTTATATAAAAAATAGAAGGCGAGAGATAAGGATAAATTTCTTTATTTAAATTATAAAGTAATAATAATATCAACGTGAACTATAACAAATCAGTTGAATTATATTTATTAAATTTGAAATTTATAGGAACATGGACGTGAGCAATGTAGCCATGTATATAGTTTATTTAAAAGAAATGTTAGCTCTAAACTTCGATTCACATAAAAAAGTAATTACTTTTAATATCATAATTCATAATTAATTATTTACAATCATATTCACAAATTCTATGCTTTAAAATACAAATTCTTTGCTTTGAAAACAAAATCTCTGCTTTAAAAATACAAATTTTTTGTTTTTAAAACAGAAATTCTCTGCTGTAGAAATTAAAATTATACAAAAGAAAATAATGTGTTTTTAAAGCAGAGAATTTGTGTTTATAAAGCAGAGAATCTGTGTAATTAACCAGAAAATATTTATTCTAATCTCACTTACATGTTTTCATGTCCCTCTAGGTTTATACCATCGATGTGACATATATCTTAACCTGAATAGTTGTTAAGTTGAATGATTTTAATCTCGGTTTGCGGGGCAGAGCAACATGTTTTTTTTCTGCCAGATTCTTTCGTTTCAAAAATAAGCATCGAATAAGCCCGATTTTATTGATTTTTGAGCTGCGAAAATTAAACTGATAATTACCTAGCTCCGATTCATATCGCAAAGTGATTCTTACATTTTTGTAAAAGAATCAAAATAAAAGTCTACTATTTTTGAAAAAGAAATGACAGATATTTACACAGCAAACATTAATACAATAAATTAAGTATTATACAAACACTACTTGCTTGTATAACCTTCTTTTTGTCACAATTGAGATACTTACATGATAGATAAAGACAATAATCTCGTGTATTAAAAATCCAAGCTAATAAGCACTATATATATCATTATGGAGCCAGTGTTTGCAAATAACTGCCGCGAATCTGTTTCCTCAATATCGTAATTTACATCGATCGAATGATAAACGGCACGCCTGCCATATTGTCACACAATTTGGAATTTATAGATGTTGCTCAAGATTCGACATGCTTAAGCGAGTGCATGGATGTCGTGAACCAATCAGAAGGTCGGTATTCATATAGTCGGTTCTTATTTTAAGACCGATCTTAAGTCACTAATGCGGCCTTCCGATTGGTTTATCTTAATAGCTTTTGTTGGATAGCGGAAACGCTTATCGGCAAAATGTGATGCGGTAGCCAATAAGCTTACAGCTCCTAATGTATTCATTGGTTACTGCGTCTCATTTTGCCGTGCGGTGTTTCTAGTGTGCAGAACTACTTAAGACTGTTTTAAATATAAGACTATCAGCCTTTAGAACCATATCAGCATCTTAAGACACTGCTTGAGATGATCTTTCGCATCGCATATTGTGACATGCTCTAATTTGCTCCTGTTATAGCATTTGTTCTCTCACTCTAACGCACTCGTTGAAGTGAGTACAAGCTATAACAGGAGCACATTGGAGCATATAGAACATGTTGGAGCAAACGACGCGAACAAACCTCTTGAGATTAAGAATGGACTGTAGATATCGATTCATAGGTCAGTTTTTTTATTGTTGCACTTTCTCGACACAGTAGTACATACAGTGCAATAAGTTGAATAAAACAAATATACGTTTGTTTCACTTCAACTTAGGCTAAAGTCCCGTGAGGTGTTTTATCGCGTAACCGCGTAACCAATCAGAAGCGATCCACTGTTGTGGTATCGTGTTTTACTGATTATTGATTGATTACGCAATACACGACAAATACGCTTCATAAGACTTCACTTTTATTGCCCCGATTTAAAGTACAATAATAAAAAACAGATTTCTTGATTCGAAGTCTTTACGGTTTGTATACGCCCACGTATTTTAAAGTGCTTTTTCATGCTGACGCTTGACGTTCAATATCAAAATAATTTAATATTGACGTTCATAAAAAATATTTTGATATTGACGTTTTCAATATCAAAATAAATCGTGTGATAGAAATTGACGAATATTAAGCATAAGGGTATATCCACACAACTTGTAGCCGCATAAACGTATGCATAAAAAAAATTATCCAATCATATTTTACATGCGTCTTTTTAGGAGAAATGCAATTGGATAATTTTCTTTATCCAATACGTTTATATATGACTATGCAAGTTTGTGTAGATTTATCCTTAGCCTTCATACAGATAAGCTTTTCTCATGCAGACACAGAGCGTGAAAAATCTGTTGTGGGGATAAAATTTACTCCCATTACCCGTTTTTCACCTGTTTTTCAATCAGTGTTCGATGTCAATGCGCTATTGTCTATATGAGGATTCGTGCTTATGGCTCGTGCACACTGGATGCTTGCCATGTGGCAAAATAAGATACGGTAACCAATGAACATGTTAGGAGTTATAATCTTATTGGCTATATATTATATTTTGCTGCTCAATAAACGTTTCCGCGTCCAGTGTGCAGGAGTTATTACGCTGCGTCAATAGAGAGCGCTTACTCAACAATTAAGTTTGCTGCACACAGCCTATGACAACCTTCAATGTAAGTTTTGAATTTATTGACTATTATTGTTTAATTTATAATTGTTTAATTTATTGTAATTTTTAATTACTTGTTGCGTTCATCAATTTTTTATATTAATTTTATAGTACTTTGATTAACCGTTTAGGTATTCTACCACTAAGGTGCTTTATTAATTTTACTCATGGTACTTCTCTTATTTATTATCTTCTCCAACTACTTCTTCGTGATATTTTGTATAATCTTAATAATTTATTGGCTTACTGTATTGCGAGATCATTAATTTGTAAATTCAGTAATATACTGAAGAGAACCAAACGCGCAGAACCGAAATGTTTAGAATTATTAAAGTGCAAACAAAATTTTATATATACCGGTCCACCAGTTGGTCTTGATTGGATTAAACCTCTCAACATTTTTTTTTAAAGATAATAAGATAACTGAAAAAACATAAACTTTTTTCATTTTTTAAATTTGTGTATCACAAATTGTTTCAGATACTATTCACCTGGTTATCCAGACAGCCTTCTAGAAGCTGTAGAGCAATACCAACCAAAACATCTTTTCGTTTTCAATCATAAATCATCTGAGAATATAGAGGCCAGCTTGTAATAACAATAATAAGAGATAATTAAATTATAATTAAATTATAATTGTTTCTATCTTTATTATATTCTGCTTGCATAATAATATAAGAAATATTTATGAATATGTTTTATAGTTAAAAATCTTTCACTCTCGTCATATAACAGTTTAATAATTTTTAAATTTACATTAATAATTTTATTATCTAGGGCTACGTTCCAAAACTTTCTTTCCGAGAAAAATTTTACTCGCAATATATAGTACACGTAACGTACACTATAATACATAGAGTAAAATCTTCCTTGGAGAAGAAGATAGCTTAGATACTTTAACTATGTGATTTAATAACACAGGCATTTTTTTTTATGAAAAAAGTAGCAGAGTTATGTTACATTCAAACTCCAGAAGTTTTGCTGGAATGAGCAAAGAAGGACATCTCAGAAATTGTAACAATGGATCAATGACTGCACTCAGCAGAGAAAATTAATCAGTTAGGGTGCCGTCCCATGACGCGTATTGCTGTACGCGAGTTTTTTCGTGTATCGAAGAATCCGACCTAACGATCCGACTGTAATTGGTTGGTTCTTACATTCTGATCCGGATTAAATCCCCGGTAGAAACTAGGCTAGTAAAAGATGTAAACTTAAGCTGATGAGCCAATCAGGTTGTTTTAGATCTATGTAATCTAATAGAAATGCAAATAACAGCAAACTTATCCATAATCTCCTCGCAATAAAGTGAATTTCGAATTGATTGAAACTTATCTTATGGATAAGTTTACTGCTATTTCTATTTCCGTTAGGGTGAAATCACACGATGCGGAAAAGGACTGTGGAATAGAGAAGCAACCAATCAGCGTTATTCTGCGTTATTCCGAATAGCGTTAATTAGTTTTTCAATGACGCATTCTCTATTCCGCAGTCCTTTTCCGCATATGATTCCACCCTTAGAGTACAGTAGATTTAAAGCGGTATCCTAATTGGTTCATTAGCTTAATTTCACGTTTTTTTTTTTAAGGTTACTGTTACAGAAATTTTGTCTGCGGCAGCCCTCTGGGCATGATTTATTTCTAGTTCTACTTTCCAAAACTTTCTTTCCTAGGAAGATTTTACTCTGTATGCTATAGTATACGTAACGTGTTTTGAAACGTAGTTTAGGAATATAAATCCAGATCTACAATAGTGTTTTAATAAACTTTAAGGTACATTTCCACGTACTGCTAAAAATAAACAATTGGAGCGACAGATTTGTCACTCGTTATTCAGCAGCAGAAATTTTGTAGTTTGAACAGTTTTCAACTACAAGGGTCAAACGTTCAAACGCTATTGATAATGCTGACATATTATACTGACCATGTAGACCACTAATAATTATGATATACATAACCTAATTTATTCTTTTTCTTTATGGTTGATCCAGATAGGGGATTCGATGCGCGCGCAATAAAAATAATCTAGTAACTATTTAATTCAGCGTATTAATATCGTAAATGATACATAAAAAATACAAACAACATATTGAATCTGTCGCTCAAATGTCAAATTTAACACTTCTTGCTCTTTTTCATGTATAAAATTGTCGCTTTAGATTTCATTCCAAAACTTCCTTTCCTTGGAAAATTTTACTCAAAATACATAGTACATGTATAGCATATAGAGTAAAATCTTTCTCGGAGAGGAAGTTTCAGGACCCATTCTTCAATGGATAATAGTAGTAGGGATTAAAGAGTAGACGTAGAAATCGACTAATCATAGTTGATTATCTTTCTCACTTTCAACTATGATTGATTGATTTCTACGCCTATTCCTTAAGTCCACTACTGTTACTGCCCATTGTAGAATGGACTTAATTTTGCTACAAAAATCGACACGTGATTTTTTTTGTCACTGAAACGACCAGTTTGAACAGCTTGTGAAAATCTTTAAGCCGTAAGAAAGTGGCCTAGTTTCCACCGAGGGTTAAACTGAGGGATCCAAAAGTAAAATCCAACCAACTACAGTCGAATATTCCCCTATTACGACGATAGGGGAACGCTTGACTGTAGTTGGTTGGTTCTTACATTCGATTCGGTTTAAACCTTTTATAGAAACCAGGCCATTGACTAACTACGGTTGAATAATTGAATAATTAGCAAGGAGAATAATTGATTGTGATTCGTTCATTCCTTAGCTTAAGGCTTAAAAATTTATTGTAGATCCGGAAAGTATCGGCTCGATAACTCGTACACAATCAAAGTTCCTAAGCTACATTCGATAACTTTCTCTCCGAAGATTTTACTCTATATGCTATAGTATACGTAACGTATACTATATTTCAAGTAAATTTTCCTCAAGAGAGGAAGTTTTCGAACGTAGCTCTAGAATATATATTTTCCAATCAGAGAATTTCAAATATCGGATTGGTTGCAAACTCTCCCTTCCCTCACCCCCTCCTTACCTCTTGTCGTTGCATTGAATAAATTCAAACCATTTGAAATTTAACGTCCTTCTGTAATGTCGATACCGTGGTTATTAACAGTTTGGAGTCGAGAGTCTTTTATTACATATATATGCGTAATATTTGACTGTACGACCTGCGTTGAAAGGTGCTAGGAAGGTAGGCTAGCATAATTAATTCATTTAGTTATAATCATTATAACTAAAAGAAGAAGCGTGCATATGAAATTTCTCAGATTCTCCATGAGTCGTATACAATTTTCTTAGAATATATTCCATTACGCTCCGTGTGGAGTCTCTGATTGAGAGATTGTATAAACGGTAAGTACGATTTTTTTATAATCTTGTAAAAGTAGATATTTTGGCATTTGTAGTCCAATGATATGCAAAATTTGTGCAACGATTCTTGTTTTAAAAAGAATAGCAAATGTGTTTTCTTATAAATTCTTTTTTTTCTTATTTAATAAAAAAGGCAAATCATATTGACTGAATCCCTCTATTTGAGACTTACTTAGAAATATTGAAAGTTGCACATCAGCCAGACAAGGCATTATGAATATGTTTTAGACAAATATTTTATATTATTGGAATACTGTAACAAAATGTATAAATGCCTTTATTTGTTAGATATCATTGGTTGGTTGAGAAACATTGAACTTGTTCTACGTTATAACATATGTTCTTGATCTTGTTTAATTTTTGATAGTATTTTTAATAATTGTATGTATTTATTTTAAATTTTCATGTTTGAATAAACTCTTATATATTGGATGAATGAGTATGTTTGTACATGTATTGCCTTGATATTTGATAATTCAAAAATAATTTAGGTAACATATAAGAATTAACTATTTTAAACAAATTAAGTTTACTACATATGTAGTATTAAAATATGAATTGTGTATGCATAAAAAAATATTGTTAAATATTCAATAATAATGGTGTGATGGATGCGTTATAGTGCTTTTATGCTGTGTTCCCAATAAATAATTATATTTAATATATATTTAATGTAACATTGTTATTGCAGATGTGTGAAAGTACAGTTAGCGTTGCTCTACGTATCCGTCCATTAGTAGACAATGAGCTTGAAAAGGGGTGTCAAATGTGTTTAGATGCTATACCTGGAGAACCACAAGTTCGTATATGCAATACTGACAAAGCGTTTACGTACAATTATGTGTTTCCTCCTCACATTGGACAGGAAGATTTTTATAACACAGCGATTAAACGACTCATAGATAATACCTTTCAAGGTAAATATTTCATATTTTTTCAAGTCTTTATACTTTTTAGATATAATATTGCATTTACATTACATTAAAGATAAATAATAATCTTTTGTAGGCTATAACGTTACAATATTAGCATATGGACAGACTGGAAGTGGCAAAACCCATTCCATGGGTACCAATTATACAGGTATAGGAGAGAGGGGCATTATACCAAGAGTTATATATGATATATTTGAAATAATTAAATCCAAGGAAGATTGGAGTTTCAAAGTAGCAGTCTCATTCATGGAATTGTATCAAGAACAATTGTATGATCTTCTGTCTGATAAGCAGAGAAGCCAATCTGTTGTAGATATTAGAGAGGACGGTAAAAATATAAGAATTGTCGGTGTAACCGAGAAACAAGTTCAAGATGCTCAAGAAACATTAGAGTGTCTGGCTCAAGGCTCCCTGGGTCGTGTAACGGGTGCAACTGCAATGAATGCACATAGCAGTCGTAGTCACGCTATATTTACGTTATGTATATGTCAGCAAAAAAAAGATGATCCGTGAGTAATTGTTGGTTTCTAATTCCTACTACTGTTTTTTTATTCTCTCATTCTATTTAGCTTGCGACACTAAATATGTGAGAACAGAAATAATTCGACTTTTCAAGCAGGAATACAGCGACAGTGGCGAAATTTCATTTGGTTGATTTAGCGGGTTCCGAACGTAGTAAAAAAACTCAAGCAACTGGAGAACGATTTAAAGAAGGTGTGAATATAAACAAGGGATTGTTAGCTTTGGGCAATGTTATTTCACAACTCGGTGATGGTGCCTCTGGAACATATATTGGATACAGAGACAGTAAACTTACAAGATTGTTGCAAGATTCCTTGGGTGGTAATTCCATGACTCTTATGGTTGCCTGTGTCAGTCCTGCTGGTTGGTATTCGCACACTCTTATTCTCTTATCCGTTTATCAAATTAGTTGTGCCTACTTGTATTCTAACATGTTTCAATATCTATCAAGTTATGAAAACTCTATTTGCAGATTATAACTTGGATGAAACTCTTAGTACATTGAGATATGCGGATCGCGCACGCAAGATAAAGAATAAGCCAATTGTAAATCAAGATTCGAAAATAGCAGAGATCAATCGGTTGAACAAATTAATTCAAGAACTGCGACTGGCTCTTGCGAATCAGGAACTTGGCATAACAACATGTCCGAAGGAACACGAGGCACTCGAGGAGAGATATAGTATATTACAACAAAAGTTTAGAGATATGACGGAAAAATTGAATTCGAATTTCGGAGAAATCGTAGTTATGCATGAACGAGCGGAGATAGCCGAACAGGCTCGGGAAAAAATCAGATTTGCTATATCATTATTACTTGATGAATTTAAGCAAGTTTTACAAGATTTTGATTCTTGTCCTGAAATCGATGATGAAAAACGAAATAAATTAAAAGCGATATATGAAAAGATGTTAGGTGAGTTTTTCTGTGTGTGAATTGCATTAATTATTTTTTTATTTAAACTATAAATTTTGATGAATCTTTAATGTTTATTTTATGCGCATAGATATCCAAAATAACGAGAAGAAAGCATCCGAAGAACTTATAAATCATGAAATATCCAACTCCAAACATTGTGTCATACACATGAAAGAAGATATAGAATGTATACGTACAGAGGAATTAAACGATATTGAGGATAATTTGGATTATTTTGATAAAAAGGAAGAGGAACACACATTACGGCAAGCGGAGCGAAATAACGAGGTCCAAACTATTAATAAGGAATTGGCACTCAAAGAAAGTCTTGTGTCAGAACTGTTGAAAAATGTAACGCAAGAAACCGCTGAAAGTCGTAGGAATGTTGTGGAGATGGAACAAGAAATCAAACGGCTACATGCGGAAAAAGAGGAACATTTACAAGCGGTTCATACTCATAATGTCAGTTCTAAGTAAGTCATTTTAGAGCGCTTTTACCGCCTAGCTTCTCTATTTGTCTTTTTAATAAGTTTAGTTTTTACAAATACAAGATTATGTCTCAGTTCCATGTGAAATATGAATCAAAAATTGAAAAGTGGTATGTGAGAGGGATCGAAGATTTAACGACTAAGAGTCGACTATTCTCGCATTGAGTCATGCATCACATATGATTGAATTTGTGATTTTAAGACTTGTACCCTCAATTCTATAATTTTTAATAATGACAATAT